ATCAGTAATGAATTAATTAATAACAATATATTTATTTAATAATAATTTTGAAAACTATTTCAATTGCAAAGGAATTCATACGAAGTGATGAAGAAAACAAAATGAGACGACAATTGATTGCAGAAAACAAAGCAAAACGACGAGAAAAATGCGATAAAAGTTTAAATTGTATGGACTCGGCACCGGTATCTAACGGGTCGGCCATACAATCCACTGAAACTGAAGAATTAAACGGATTCTTGAATGACTTAATTGAAAATAATGTTAATATTAGTGAACAAATACTGGAGATAGAGAGTAGTGTAATGCCAGAGACAAGTAGTATCCCAGATGTTACAGATGTAGCGCCACAAGATCCTCAAGAACTAGCGATCGCACCGGTATTTCCAGTGATCAATGATTATCACTCGTGGAACCAATTGGAGTCAATCCGTGTGAGAGAACTGTTGAGTGCATCCAATATTAGGGACGACCCGTTGAGTAACCATGACTTTAAAGTTTATACATTTAAGCAAATGATGTGCGAAACTGGACACCGAATGGAGAACTGGATTAAGGATACAATAAGTTTCGCCAAAAGTCTCAATGGATTCAAGAGTTTCTGTGCCGACGATCAGTGGACTCTCATTAAGAATGGATGCATTGAAATGTGTTTAATGAGACACGCGTTGTATTATAATGATGAGGGTCAGTGTTTTAAAATATATGTGGTAAGCATACAGTACGATATCTTTACATTAATAATATGGTAATTTAGGATAAGTATGGTTTATTTTAATAAATTACTTTATTATATTTTATGTTGTGTGAACACCGATCAGGGTGATAACAAGTCAATTTTATTTGATCTGGAATTGTTAAATTTTCAAGATTTCCCTTACTTACAAACTTTAAAGTTAATTCTAGACAGATTGTTGCCTGAAATAAAACATGATTCAATTATTATTAATTTGGTATGTTGCTATTTATTAATGCTGATGCTGTATACAAAATATCTATCTATTTTCAAACTACTGTAGTTAACAACAATAATACTTTACAACCCTAATCGACTCAACCTTAAACATAAACGAAATGTTAAGTAAGTTTTTTGAAAATTTCTTTTATTCTGTATGTAATTTTAATTTCTAATGTATTTATATTAATATATTTTTGATATTAATAGATTGGAGCAACAACTATATATTTATTTACTTCAAAAATATCTTCTAGTAAAGTATCAAATGGAAAATGACTCGCATTCAAAACTATTAACATTATTAAATAGTTTAATTAATTTAAGTAATTTAAAGGAAATGCAATTAATGTACGGAAAGACTGATAATTTTAAAGAGTGTATTCCTTATTGTGGACCATTGACCAGGGAGATTTATGATGTTAAAGTCTGATCTTTGTTAGTTTAGCCTTAATTAAAATTACGAAAATTGTACTCAATCAATATTTTTCATATTTAAATTCATAATTCATTTTATAGACACTGTATTATTTACTGCATGATTTAGCACCTAGTGATTAAAATATAAACAAATAAATTAAGATAAAACAGTACACTATCTTCTTGTCATTATTTATTAGTGTATTCTGGTATATGTATTAAATTATACTTTTCTCCAAACATTTGACAGTTTTGATAAATTAATGACAAATTAATGTAAATAAAAGATAATTATAATTTTGTAAAACTGGATATTAATGTTATAACTTATATGCAACTCATTAGACGGTAGGTGTACTTCAATCTGAAATGATGTCGGAAAGTGAAGTGAATTTTATAATGTTTTGTAATAAGTAATGATAAGTTTTATTACTATTATCCAACAAACAATGATAATAATATGATAACATTTATAAAATAAATTGTTTAATTTCTAATTAACCTAATTTGTAATTCATATAATTAACAAATAATTAATTTAACATGAATTGCTATAAAGGAAATAAGATTTGCGAGATATGTGGCGATAAAACAATTTGTAAGTTATATTGACTTTTTAAATTAAATGTATATTTGTTTATACAGTATTACGAAATTAGCAATCCAAATTATAACTTCATATTTTTCAATTATAAACACAATTATATGCTAATTGTCAAATACAATATATTATATATAATATGAATAATTAATTCACAGACAGGCGTTAGAGCTTGGTGAACTTATTAGTAATATTAGTTATACTTTCATATAAACTTATGGAGAATAAGACGTGAATAAATTTTTATTTAAAACCACTAACGCCTGTCTGTGATGTATAAATCATATGATTTTTAGGCCGAAATTTTACGGCAAATGCCTGCGAGTCGTGTAAAGCATTCTTCCGACGAGTGGTTCGTCTCAATAAAGTAATTAAATCATTGAAACAATTAATACATAAATTTAATTGTAATTATAATGTATAACAGCAATATGTATGTCCATCAAAAGGCAAATGTGTTATAAATACCACGACCAGGACAATGTGCAAACAGTGTCGACTCAATAAATGCTTAGCAGTGGGAATGAAACGAGTTATGAATTGATTTATATATTTATAAACAATTTTAAGTAATCAAAAATATCTTATAAATAATATATACAGGAATTCATACGAAGTATTGAAGACAACAAATTTAGACGACAATTGATTGAAGAAAATAGGGCTAAAAGAAGAGAGAAATGTGAAGAAAGTGCGGATAGTGTGGACTCTTCACCGGTATCTGACGGGTCGACCATACCTTCCCCTCAAACTCATGATACCAATGGATTCCTGAATGACTTAATTAAAAATACAGTTAATATCAGCGACGAAGAGATTAATAATCAGATAACAGAGATAGAGAGTAGTGTAATGTCTGAGACAAGTAGTGTCACTGAAGTTGCAGCTCCAGATCCTCAACTAGTGATCGCACCGGTATTCCCAGTGATTAGCAATTATCACTCGTGGAACCAATTGGAGTCAATCCGTATAACAGAACTGTTGATTGCGTCCAAAATTATTGAAATCCATATCACTGAAAATGTGCATAAAATCTATACATTTAAACAACTGATATGCGAATGTCAGCAACAAATGGAAGACAATATTAAAGATATCGTGAGTTTCACCAAAAGTCTCAATGGATTCAAAAGTTTCTGTTCCGACGATCAGTGGACTCTCGCTAAGAATGGATGCATTGAAATGATTTTAATTAGACAAGTGTTGAGTTATAATGACGAGGGTCAGAATTTTACAATAAGTGGGGTAAGATTATTAGGTTGTAATAACCGTTATATTATACTTATAGTGAATAACATAATTAAGATACTATAAGACTTTATGTATAGTACCATTGTAATGTTGATAATAAATAAAACTCAAATTACCTAGGACAATGGCAAATCAATTGAGATTAATTTGGACGTCCTAACATTTCCAAAAATACCTTATCGGCAGACTTTAGAAACATTTTTGAACAAAGTTGTCCCTGAATGCAAATACGACTCGATTATTATTAATTTGGTAACTATGATCTTACTGTACAAGTTAGATTAATAATCTATGTAAAGAATTTGTTAAGAAGTTTTAATTAATTTAATACAGTTAACAGCAATCATACTTTACAACCCAAATCGACCCAATCTCAAACATAAAAATTATGTTAAGTATGTTTAGAAAATATCGCCCTTTTACAATAAAATTTATATTTTATTTTATATGGTAATAGACTGGAGCAACAATTGTATATTTATTTACTCCAACGCTATCTACTAATGAAGTGTCGATCGGAATATGATTCGCATTCAAAACTATTGAAACTATTGAACACTTTAATTGATTTAAACAATTTAAAAGAAATGCAGTTATGGTATGGAAAGGATGAAGATTTTAAAGAGTGTATCCCTTATTGTGGACCACTAGCCAGGGAGATTTATGATATTAAAGTCTAATTATTATTTGAATTATTATGCTTGTGCTTAATAATCATAGCAAATAAAGAAATTTATAATAATCTATAAATATCTGAAATTAATTAACAAATTACTGTACCAATATTTTAGTCATAAACTATTAAAAATTTCTAAATCTAGTTGACATTGAAATTATATTATTGATGTTTGAGGACAAATTTATTTATCTTACTCTATCTAATACTACTCTATTGTAAAACATTGTATACAAATTTAACCTTGGATGACATAATTTTGTACGTAATAAATAAAAATGGTGTAAATAGATGGGTGAATATATTGTAAACAGATTTTGTTTGGTATGCGGCGATAAGGCTCTTGGTATGTTATTTGTAAATTAAAATTTTTAACTTAAATTTAACACATTTTTAATTATCCATGTCCATTTAAATATAAAGGCCGTAACTTCAGTATCACATCTTGTGAACCGTGTAAAGCATTTTTCAGACGTTTTGCCCACAGAGATAAGGTATAGCAACATATAAATTAGATGTATGATTTATATGACTAATGTATAGCTAGGTAATTTTAATTAAACACTTTTACCATATAATAGCAATTAATATGCCCATCAAATGGCAATTGTGTGATCACCGCAAAGACTAGATCCGTGTGCCGGAGGTGTCGACTAAACAAATGCATAGCCGTTGGCATGAAAAAAGTTTGTAATTTTGTAAATATTCATAAATTATGATTAATTTCTACTTATTTTATATATCAATTAGGAATACATAAAAAATAATGAAGAAAACAGAATAAGAAAACAAATATTTATCGAAACCAAAGGCAGTGGAGAGCAACTCAATGATAGTCCAAAGTCTGACAAACTTTTGCAAACAAATGATGAAAATAGTGACAAAGACTTTGACAATGAATTACTTGACAATACTTTAAATAGCAATTGTAGTGGAGACTCAAATCAACAAATTATACGTGTTAATAATCATGGTCAAAATAAAAGCCCGGATACAGTATTATCCATTCATAAGATAATTACTGATTATGAGGGTTGGAATGCAATGGAAAGTCATCGGATGGTGGAGTTATTCACGGCATCCAAAGTGTTTGACTATTCATTGAGCTCACATGTGGTCGAAATAAATGACCTGCGTGCATTATGCAAAATAGGTCACCAACGATTTGATAAAATACTGTCAGATATAGT